TACATCACCCCGAGGTGTTCATAACCATAGAAGTCATAGAATGAGGTGAGCCTGTCTTTGGATGATGAAATTGAATCCCCTCTGTGGAATTTAACTGGACTATTACAAACACTGTAGTAAGATCTAGAAAATTCACAAAACCTCAGATGGACTATTTTGCCTTCATGTATTTTTATGTCACATCTAAATTATATAGCCCTCTTTTATTAATTTTTTGGCTACAAAGACAGTGGACATTCGAGAGGTTGCTGTGATAACAGTGGGATTTTAGTGATCTTTGCATCAGTTTCTTCATATCCAGCCCCTTTCATTCTGTTTCAGAATCAGTGGAATTTTGATACATTATGAAAATTTCTTCAGTATTTCACAAAACTGGCCTTTATTTCTCCTTCAAAAGTCTGGTTTTCTATAAATCTGTCCATTTGTCCCCATACCTGAACGATGAGTGCTGTCAGCTTAGGTTGTGAAAAAAAAAATACAGTACTATTTAAAATTACTAGTTGTGCAGTGAGAGGTGTAAATGCAGAACATGGGTAATTTCTGGGTAGAATTTTAGTAATTCTGTTGTAACTTCCATGCCTTCCATGAGTTACTATAAGAATTTCTATTTGCCCTTTGGTTTTGCCCAAGAGTGACAGAGTGGCAATGAAGCCTGCTGCTATGATAATTTTGCAGCCTTTTCCCCCTCCATCACTAACAGCAAATTTTCTAAAAACCATCTAAATCTGAAAGTGAAGGCTTTTTCTGAGCAAGAAAATAAAGTGGGGTTAGCCTGAAAAAATATAGCAAGGCTATATTTTTCTCCAGTTTCCGAAACTAATCTCATTTATCTTCATTTTCCGAACATCACTTTTCAATTGAATCAGGAGCAGTGTGTTATGTATTTTTTTTTCCTTTCTGGTAATCAGAGAAATATTGACCTATTTTGAAAACACTTCTTCCTCTCACTACTGACAGCTTTCATTACTTCAATTGTTGCTATTTTTATATAAAAGAGCTATAAAGGAACTTGAGCTGAATGTAATCTTAACTGTAGAGAACTGGATGTGGATCACCAAGATACCACATGAATTCAATTGTCAGAGTTAAGGTTTAACCTTGCCTCTTTAGATTATAACATATTATCCAAGCAGAAGTCAGCTAATGGACCTTAAATTAGTGTGAGTGGTCTACAAAGATACGGCATATCATTACATCAATCTACCTTCCTTGAAGTCAGCAGAAAAACACTGCATCAGTTTCAGTAGGGGAAAAAAAAGGTTATAGCCAGGTTACTCTGCATCAAGACGTCTTGGTTTCTTTTACCCTTGTAATTGAGCAGTGCTCTGTTCTACAAGTACAGGTATAATATAAAAATAGGTTTTAATGAAATTAAAAGAAAGATTTTTTTAGTCTAGCACCTGCTATATTTAGTTCTGCCTGGAGTGTGGCTAGGGGTATACCTGTGAAAATCCTTTGTCTTTAGCAAATATAATGGTCCTGCTTTAAAAAAAATGAGAAAAATATCCAATGAGAAAAGAAAGAAATCAAAATTTTCCTGTGCTGTCGAAATAGCTGTTTCACAAAGTTGGCTAAACACGTAGTGTGGATGGATGGCTCTTTAGTGTTTTGCCTACTTTGTCATCAATCTGATCACAGCCCAGGTGACAGGAGCAGGGCTGTACCTTCTAATCCCCCAGTAAATGACCCGTGTCTGTCTGTCTTTAATCAGACAGCTCCCTCCATCACTCAGATCACTTGGAAGCTGCTGTGGGAAAGCACATGCACACTCCTTTTGTCTTGTCACTGCTTCATTCAGGGACAACCTGTGTGTGGGAGAAGGGGGTTACAGTCAGTAGTCCTGCAGAACATAATCACCTTACAATAGGTGATACATCCATTGCAATGTTTGTGCCAAACTAATAATGATACAAACAAACCAGCCTTTTGTACTGGCTTTCTGTTGGTGCCCTTTGCAGAAAAAAAATTGCTGCTGCTTCTTTAAGTCATGGGGGCTCCCATTTGCTGTGACAGCTTTCCAATTGTTAAATAAACTCTGACCATGAGCAGCTGTCAGACAGATATTGCACTGCAGGCTTCAGTTAAAAGGAGCACCAGACAAGCATTTCAGTGCCTAAAGGCCCTTATTTATTTTGTTTTAAAGACACACTTAAAAAAACCCCAAAACCACAATGAGATAATACGATTCCTTCACTGGAAAACAAAAACAAAAACCTTTTTTTTATTTTTAATGTATATACTCTATGCATTTTTTTTTTTTTGGTGAAAGTTCTAGAATGTGAGTATGTGCATTTCTGAGAAAAAGCCTATGTGGAGCATGCAATATCTCAAATATACACTAGGAAATTGAGATGCAGAAATCCTGACATTAGACTTTATAAATACAACTAATCATATTCAAATTCTTGTGGGAAAGCAGGAGGAATTATACTGAGCTTCCTCGAAGTCATATAATGTAATTTTATCATTTCTGCTTTTGACAGTAATCTAGCTCAACACTTGTGATGTTATTGCTTTTTGCCATCTGAACAATTTGAGCTGGTTGAAGATGTCCTTGCTCATTCCAGGGGTATTGGACTGGATGACCTTTAAAGGTCCCTTTCAACCCAAACTATTCTATGATTCCATAATTCTGTAATAATGTTGCAGTCTGATGTACAGGAAAGCAAAAAAAAAAGGGACAGTTTTCACTACTGAAGGTCTAACAGACTAACTCCAATATGCAAGAAAATTATTCTAAAGGTAAATATATAGTGAATATATTGGTAGAAACCTTAATATTTACATTATAATTACAGCTGGGGAGGGAGATTGCCATTAAGTTAGGAAGAAGTTGTACTTCCTCATATTGCAGTTTACAGACTGATACTCTCTACCCTTACCTGACTGAAAGTCAGACTGGAGAACTTGGACTAGGAATCAAAATTGATCAGGGCTCCACTAGAAGATATTTAGAAGATAGGTTCAGTTCACCTGGCTGAGGAGAGAGTGAGTCAGCTCTGGACGTGCATTTTCCCACTGACATTGAAGCAGAAGCCTAGGTCAAACACAAATTAAAACAAAATCAAACCAAACCCTAAATAAAACAAAAACTAGTCATGGTCATTAATTTCAAAAGGCAAGGTGTGGACTAATTGTGTGGAAGCAGGAGTTCTAGACAATATATAAATATTTATTGAAAAATCAATATTTTTTCATGTTAAAGAGAAAATATGATTCATATTTTGTTTACAAGTAATAGTAAGTAATTACTGGTTGTATGAGTAGCTTCCAAAATTTCAAATTTAAGTAACTAACTAGCTAACTAACTAACTAGTTAACTACTATGTGTCTTCACCATTCCAGTTTTGTTTAAAGACAGAGAGGAATATCTCTAGTAAAAATATAAAGTAGTAGGAAATGGAAAAAGTCAATTTAAAAATCAATCCTTCGTGATTTTTTCTATCGACTTCTGTTAGAAATAACACCCACAATTTTTATAACTGAAATGGATCATAAAAAATCTCAGGGTGTTCAATTATTTATTTTATGCTTTTGAAAACATCTTTGGGTAATGGGTTTCACTTTTTCACCTTTCATTTACCTCATTCTTCCACTCAGAAAAACAGAAACCATTCAAAAATGGAAAATGATAACATTTTCTTGTTTGTGCTTGTACTTGTGCTTTTGAGTCAATACGCTTTGCACAGATGCAGATGATGGTCTTAAAGCCATGGTAGATATAATGCACCATGGTTTTAAATAATCTGATTTCTACAGAGAACAAAATGCTTATATAATATAGGGCTTTGTGGACTCTTGAACCAGGAAATTTATTTATTTTATGTCAGTTTTTGGAAAGCAAAGTATAGAAGGGAAGGTTTGGGAGCACTGCACCAACAATGGAATTAATTGCTATAGTCAATGTAAATATGATTTTTTATGTGAAGTAAGCATGATGAAGGGTCCTTTAATAAAAACAGTCAACTTGAGACCATAATGGAGATGGTACTCTTTGAAGATATTGGTTGTGTTTTAGCAGAAAATGTATTCATTAAAGCCATGGAAAAAAAGGAGTAAAATCAGTCTTCCATCTTCTTAGTCTTCCAAATTTTCCATTTTGAAGCAAAAATGGAATCTTCCTTTTTTCTGTCTATATTAGTGAATTAATCTAAGTTGTTACCTCTGGGTTGTGAGATCAAGGCTGGGAAATGGCTGAAATAAATATGTTTATCTGTTCTAGGTTTCAGAGCAGAAAGCTGGCATAATGGCAGGGATAGTGTGAGAGTTGAGTTGGACTTGAAAATTTCTGGCTAGGTAGGCCGGACAACCTTCTGAACATAGATCTTACTGGAATAAACTTTCACCATGGCTCCTTTCCTGCTACAGAACGTGACATGGCACAAAAACTGTGTTGGATCCCATGCATTTCCAGAAAGTCAGGTTTACTGGGCACAGGGAGCAGAGCAGACACAGCAGCAAATCACTTGTTCCCTGGTGACAGCAGCCAGGAGCAAACGTGTCTTTCCAAAACAGCTCGTGGTCACTGCTCACTGCCCTGCTGTTGCTTCTTGAAGAGAGGCTACAGGCCAGAAAATCTAGTGTGGTTTGTAAGCCTGCTTCCAGCTGCTGCTTTTCTCTGCACTGTCTGTTGGGAGAAGGACGTTGGGGCACTCTGGAGGGGCATTTTTGGGAGTGAGCTGCACGGTAGGCAGGTTGCCCTGGCAGGTAGTGTGCCAGCTCTCTTGTGGGGATCTTTGCTACAGCTTGGCTTCAGAGATATGATTTCACTCTTGGGTTTACAGGTGGCATAGCACGGTGGCCACCACAGACAGCTGTATGAACGGATTCAGGTCAACAAGGCTGAGTAGAAGAAAAATCTCAAAGACAAGTCTTTTATGTTTTGTATTCAACTTTATCCCTTTTATTTTTTCCCCTTTTCTGTGCTATGTGCTTGTATGACATTTTCATCTGTCGGTGATCTGACTGGATGCCTCTGTTTTCTTTTCTGTTTTCTGCAGGATAAAAGCATGGGTGGATAAGATGCAAGAAGATCTCGTGACGCTCGCACGAACTGCAAGCGGAGTGGACCGGCTTGCTGAAGTAAGAAGAGGTGTCCTAGGCTGCTGTAACTAGAAAGTGAAGGGCTTGCACCTTCTAGGCTTTACAGTCATTTAATCCCAATGTACAAAAATTATTTTGGGGGATTAAACTCTGCAGTGCTTGCTGAGAGAGAAATGAAGAACAGACATCCATCAATTCGCCCTCAGTGTTGCAGCATTTTCTCAATGATATTTAATCAGCTTTGCAATATCAGACATAAGGCTTGCCATTGTTGCAACACTTCCACTGAAGCAAGCACTTTTATGTTCTGTTTGCCAAATACGGCATCCAGGAAGCAACCATTCACAGTGCTGGAGAATTCTGCTCTCTATTAACAAGGGAACCTAGCTTTCTGACACATATTTTATGAAGTAAGGCAGCTTTTGGTTAGCAGAAACACAGATGAGAATGAAAACTACTTTTATTCAGCTGTACAAATTTAACACCAAGTTTGTTTTACAGAAGAATTTACAAATCTCTGATTGAGATTTTTTTGTGTTATTATTCTATTCATAGATGGTCATAACACATGTGCCATTGCAGAAAAATGAAGGCACGATTAAGAGCATGTCAGAATTACACTGCCTATACAATTTTGTATGTATACATCACAATCCAGTATACAACCATATGATCATACCTCTCCCTATCCCTGCACAAGATCTATGGCTCTTTCTTTGAACTGATGGATGTCTGATTTAAGGTGCAGGGAATTTTGCTGCTGCATCAGGAAACTGAGCTATTGTTTTCCAGCAAAAGCCCCTGGTGCTGGGGAACTGGACGTGAAGCCTTGAGATTTGGTTTTCAGAAAATTATTCCAAATGATCCATGAAATGGATAGCAGAGGTTTGAGCAGCTTCAAAAGGTTCTTGAAGCCGTTAAGAAGCACACAGAAAAAATAATGTCTGAAGTTGTCAGATTTAGCATTGTGTATTAACGAATTCCTTTGACCTTAATGACCTTTTGCCCAGACATTCATGCCTTGTGTGTATCCTGTCCCAGAAGGACATTTTGTCATTACTGACTATAAGAGGAGGTTGGATGATTAGCTCAGATGTCCATTAGCTCAGATGAGATCACCACTGTCTTATAAAAGGAAGGGCTGTGTCACTGCATGCACAATGAACATAAATGAAAATTGCCAGATTTATTTTAGTTCTGGCCTTTCCTAATATTTGACTGCATCATATTGCAACACAATTTAAGGCAGATGCTTTAGATGCATGTTTTAATCTTTAAAAACCATAAATAAACTGAAAACAAAATCTTAAAATCCTTACACAAATCACCAGATTCCTGCAAGCATGGGTTTCCAACGCAGAAACGTCTAGTACTTGAGCTTCCTGAGGAAATGTAAGGTTTGGAAGCATGGAACTCTCATTGGAGTTTTTGCAGGTGGATTGCACATGTTTCTGCTGACAAAGGACAACAAGATTTGCAAATCATCAGTCTCCAGGTTCTGGTGGGAACTTTCTGCTACAAGTCCCTTTTTGCTTATCCAATATAGGTGTGATCTGGTCTGTTCTGCACTTGCTGTGTCTCTTTTTTCCCTTCCATTCAGCATCTTGCTACTGATTCACCATTCAACTTTCCATTCCTTTCCTGCTGTGTTGTTTGGCTGCCTTTCATTTCTCCTCAACCTATGCTATGTTTCTGTCTCAGCTCCTGCCTTTGCTGCTTCGCCAGTCTGCCTTTCTATTTTACGCTAGTTTCTTGTCTCTATTTTAGGATCTTTCTCAGCTTTTTCCAGATCAGCACTTCTCTTTTAACTCCTTCATTTTTCTTAGCATTTCCAAAAGGTGTGTGTGGCCAGACGGTCACAATACTCTCATCTCTTCTCTTCCACAGGAATTTCTCTTCCCCTTCCTCCATCACTAATTCTCAGTCCCAGACTGTAATTTTCTCCTGTATGATTTTTCTATTTCACCTTCCTTTTCAGTCTCATTTTCTCCTTACTCTTTGCTTGCTATTTTCCAGTCTATTATCTCCTGTTTCCATATCTCAGTCTCTTTCTCTTTCTCCTTCATTCACTTTTCCTCTCCTCCTTCTCCCACTGTGTAGACGTGAGAGACCACAGCAAGTCTGATCTTGAACTGCAGAAGAGGTGGGACATCCTCTAGGAGTGATGTCTCTGACTTGGAATACACCTGTGTTCTCAGCAATTTAGCTGATTAAATCTCTGCAATGATCTGCAGGTCCTTTTCAGGCTAGAATTTTTTTAACACGGGAGACTAAAACATATCTTTAAAAACACAGCATTGAGTTTTTAATCTACAATGAATAGGTAACAGGAGAATGAGTTACACAGGATTTCTAACTGGACCAAAACTATGAGTTAATGTCTCAACCATTTTGTTATGCCTTCTTGTGTAAGGACTACATAGTAAAATAGATAATGAAAAGCCAAGAAATTGATGTTTCATTCTCTTTTTCCCCTGAGGAAAATGTCAGTTTATGTTGTTGATATTTGGCAAATATATAAACAGTCTTATAATGAAAACTACTGGGCAAGCCTAGTAATCTGTAGTGCTACCAGCTTTGCCACAGTGCCATTCATGTGGATAAAAACAAAAACATGAATGTGTGAATACTATAGGTAAGTTTCTTTTGAAAAGCCAGAATTTACAAGACTTCAAGGAAATAGTGATGATATTCACAAGATGGTCGATATGTGCTTGTAATCCAAGGATTAAAAGCATGAAAGGAGGATGTTTCCATGTAAAATATCCCCCTGTATCAAAGCCATGTGTTTGACCTATGTGTCACGATGTTTTTTTCTAGACATGAGGTTTTAATTAGCTCTCTTGGCTGCAAGAGAAAATGCAAAGCCCTGAAAGGTGTAACCCATGCACTCTCCCACTCTCTTCTTGTTTACAGGCTATTGTCACTTTCCCATTTCTGAATGACATCCTTTTTTTTTTTTTTCCTGCTCACTGCCTATTAACATTTAGTTAGATCTCTTCTGAAATGAACCACAATCTTGAAAAAATGGAGACTACAAGACATGAAAAACAGCATGCCTGCATGCTTGTCACTTTTATTCACAGAATTTGCCTTCAGATGCTCACGCTTTTAAAATGTTTACAGTCAGATTGAATTTTCAGCTTTTTTTCTGATTTATTTCTTCTTTCAGCTCCAAAACTGTTTGGATCAAACCTGTAGTCTTCATGTAAACTTGAAAAAAGAAATAATTTGTTTGGGTTTTCTGCCTCTTCTCTCTCTAAAAGCAGAATGAATAATATAAAAAGAAGGAGCAGATTGCTCCTATTATAAAATAGTAAACATGACTTTCTGTCAAAAGCTGTAATAATCAGATTGGTAGGAGAAATGTCTTCCCTCGTTCTAGGGAAAATTAATTTTAATTTTGCCAAGTGTGAGGTTAAAGCTCTTAGCAAGAACATGTAACAGATTATAACCATTTCACAGCCTGGTCAATCTTTCCCTGGACTCCGGGAAAGAATTCCCACTGATTCAGCTGAAATTAGGATCTGTGTTGTCTGCTTTGTGCAATTAAGTCTTCTGTGAAGATGTCTAAAGTGACCAAGATAGCTCTCAAAGTAGCACAATTAATACATTCTCATCTAGAGTGAATTAACATAAACCAGAGCTTTTTCAATTAGCTGCAATGCTAATGGTGCTCCCATAATTTGCTGAAAGTATCTCGGGGTTCATTTGTGCTTGGATGTGCCTTGGGTGTCTTTGTGCTGCAGGGAAATACACTGTACAATGGCCTCTTCTGCAGAGCTATAATTTCTTTTTTTTTTTTTTTTCATCACCATGAGCGAGAGGGATATGAGTACTATCTTAATTCTCAGTTATTTTGATTTTAGACTGGGAGAACTTTTGACTGGAAGGATGTAGGTAGTGATTGGGAGTGGGGCTGTGGCTGAGCCTCATCCCCAGTGGGTGCAGCTGTGGAAAGCAGGTGAGCAGCACTGACAGCAATGAGCCATGGAGTGCCCAGGGGCACTGAGCAACCTCCAAAGGAACAGAGGGCACACAGGAGCAGTGCATGCACATGGGGGGGATAAAAGGTTGGGCTAAAGGAGAAGAAGGGCAGATGCTTGCAGCCTTCTGAAATTGGATGGTGATCCTGTGTGTATCGTGGCCATCTCAAATGTGACGTGCTGCAGAAAGGATGTAAAACTCAGAGTGTAATATGTACTTATAAAGGAATAAAAAAAATAAAAATGTAGATGACTGTTAAAGTCAGGTGAGGTGTGTGGAAAGTGGATAGCTGTCCTGTTGAGATCAGTACCTTGGTAAAAGTCTAATTTAATCTGCAGTGTGGAGATAGAGCACTAGGGAAAGTATTTTTTGTATTTAAGGTTTTTGAATTCAACATGTACTAAATTTCATGGAATCATATTTAAGGAGAAGAATCTCCTCAGAAGAGGATTCCCTTTTATTTCTTTTTGACAATTTTCTTATGGTGATTTGGAATTACAATCTTGTCCTAGTGACTAACCACTCTTTCTCTTCCTTTTGCATATATAATGTAGCTATTGTAACTCTCACAAATCACAACTTTTGAAAATACCTGTATAGCGAGGATTCACAATAATATATTAATGAATATTCCATATAGTGTTTAAGAAGACAAAATATTTAGGAGTTTATTAGTTCATTAGGGATTCTGCCTCTGAAAATATGAATATATTTGTGCTGATGCAAATTTCATACATACATACATACATACATACCTTTTCTCTTGTTAGCAATGATGACAGCAATATAATGCCTGTAGTAAGAAAAATTGCAAAAGAAAGCTTGGACACCTTAAATAAGGCATAACTTAAAACAAGAAGTTTTATGTTGAGGCTGCTTTCATCCACAGCCTGAACCAGGTAAAGTAGCATAACTGGGGTAGAAGAAACAAGGGGCTGGAGAGGCAGGGGAGAGCTGCTTATTGTGATGCCCAAAGGAGACACGCTGGGATTGGGGTGTCCTGCACAGGCCAAGGAGTTATGCTCCATGATCCCTATGGGGCTCTTCCAAGT